AGATACGTTCCGTTCTTTATGAATCAATTTTGTAGGAATCATAGTTTACGGACTACGGCTGTTTGAAAGGTTTTCTTTCATAAAATTAATCGATTCTAGACTAATTCGATTCAACATTTCCAAAATACGTATATTTTTTTGAAAATAATCCGTATAAACTACGTTATAAACAAAAAATTGTAGGATTGCTTACCGAGTGTGTACCGTTCGACTACGCCCGTTGCTAAAGCTTGGTTTCGTCGCGGAACAGCGCATCAAACCGCGGCCGCGATTTCTGATATTATTTTTCTGCGAAAACTTCGTTGACCTTTGGAGACATCCTTAATATAAATAATTTTTATGGCCGTTAAATAAGAAATGTTTCTTTCACAAGAAATGTATAAAATTACAGTACTGGACAGACGATAGGTCGCCTAACTCGCCGTAGCGTGACGCTAGACGGCGAAAAATATATATTTAATTATAATAAAGTTACAATAAATTAAGTTAATATATAATTATATATACAGTACCTAATTTATATATAATTAATATATAATTATATGTACAGTACCTAATTTATATATAATTATATGAACAGACGATACTAAACTCAATTTATCCGCCTAAACGTCCGTAGCGTGGCGCTACGGACGGCGGGAAAGTAGTTCGGCTGCCCGATGACGTTTTACGTATTATAGGAGTTATTTTTACCGTCGTTTACGGATACTGCCACAATTTTTATAGGAATCATAACTATAGGAAACGGTTTTATAGGGGGATCTACTGTATTTTTGGCATAAGAAATGCAATTCCTTACAACATTTACATTGTTTTTCTGTATTTGGTAGTTTATAACATTCTGCACCATTAACCTATCTACACCTGCATTAACATTTATATAAATTTAATTAGAGAATCATATAGAACTCTCATTTAATCCCTTTTCTTCCAGACTCAAAAATTTTACCAACACCACCCCATAGTAATATATACTCAAAAATAGTTAGTTAGGCATGTCTTTTCTTACCCTTAACAAAAACTCCCAAAATTATTTAAAAATGAACACAAATTGTAAGCAAAAAACAAACAAACAGTCTAATCAATTTAAAGTCTAAAATCGTGAAAGTGACAGTTAATAGAAATATAAATATTAACAACATTTACAAATAAATAAAGTATTTATAAGCAGTCTCTTAAAACGAATAAAAGCAATATCTGAGCGAAAACTAAGAAAATTTCACACATTAACATTTACAGCCTACTCTCTATACCCGAACCAAACTTACCCCTCGATGCACTCGAAGTGGCATAAATATTTATTACATCAGTATCGTACCATAGGAGCTACTGGCAGTACAAAGACCAGTACATCGAGTCTGGCGGCGTCCCACGAAACACAAGATCCCCACGGCGACACCACCGTAACGGAAAGCGCCACTCCGCCCACAGGCGGGCCTTCCGAGGAGACCTCCAGAGCCCGAAACAAACGCTTTCGCCCGTACTGCCAGAACGGCCAGAGGAAGCACTCCGGAGAGCTGCGCAACCCGGATAAGCCCAGCAATTAACCGGGATCCGGGCACAAACCGCAGACCCGTCAAAAGGGTAGGTGGTCGAGGCAGAGGTAAAAACGAAACCTCTCTTAAAGGAAACTCTAAAAATGCCAATTCCGGCCAAACCTTCGAGCCCACGCTTAGAAAAACCGGAAATTACGTACTCTTCCCGAAAAGAGGGTATCACTTCGTAAAGAATCGTTGGGAAAACCGTATTCTCTCCGTTCATTTCTTTAGTAAAAAGTCGAAAAGGGAAAGTACGAGAACGACGACGGTTAACTGTGGCCCAGTTAGTGCTCACAGAGCGGAAAGGCCGAAAATATAGCCTATATTTTAATTTCCTTTACGTCGTATACACGTTTCGATATATTACTATGTATTGCTACGGTATAATATGTCGTGCTTAGAAGCGGGCTGCTCTTTACGTCATTAAATACGTCATCATATCATTTTAACCGTACGAAACCGCCACAAAAATCGTCTGGCTAAACACTGTAATTCTATTAGGACACAGAGTATGGCGGCTAATATCGTTTTTTTCCCTCTTTCGTCTACATCAAAAATAACCAAGCTTAATTAAACTAACGCTTACCTTCCGTCCAGGTGAGATCATCTTCGTTTTTTTTTCCTCTGAACAAAATATCGCAGTCCAGACTCCTCGACCGCCGACATTTCTTCCCGCGCAAAGCCGTGTAGTACCGCAGAAAACGTCAAACTCCTTTAATAAACTTACGTTTATTTTTGCTTTTTTATTATTTAATTACGTAAATAATATAAAGAGCTATTTCGATAAATAATATTCTTATCTTGTTCGATAAAATTAGCTTTTTTTTATCATCGCCGCCTGGATATGTAAATTAGCCGCGGCCACGTGGTTTCTGTTTACATCGCGCCGTGTCACGTGCTCTGTCGCCGTTTCAAGTAGTTAAATTGTAGTAAAATCTTTAGACTTTCGTTCAAACTTTGTTTATTTTCGAGAGAAAAAATCTATCGTGTGTTGGATTCGATTCGTATTTTGTTTTTTGGAGATTTTTTTGAATTTTTCGTGTAATTCCTTTCGGATATACCCGTTCGCCTGGATTTATTGTAATAACTACCGAAAGTGGAATACATATTCTGTCTAAAGACTGTCGATGTATACAAACACTTCTGGACATGGGATATTTGGCCTATACGATGGCCCATGCCAGTGAAGCGGAAGCGCGTAGAACGGCTAATGGGAATTCGAGCACCTCCGGTCTGGAAGCGCGAGAGAAGGATTAAAATTAGAATAGAAGTTTTATAATAAAATTTTATTGCGCACTTTTCTGGTAGATGTTACAATATTGCCGCGTGTGTAACGCGGCAATATTGTAACTTCTACCAGAACCCAGGAGATTCTTTAGAACCTGTTAGAATCACACCATGTTAGAACCCAGGAGATTTTTTATACTTTAGACCAATGGTTTCCAAACTGTTTTTTGTCTGGCGGCACGCCGAAATCATTTAACAAAACTTCTGGCATTCCCATTATTATTATGCTGGGTTTAGTGAGTTATGCTCGGTTAACGCCGGTAACTACGTACTGTACAACTGTACTATGTCGAACCAGAGTCATCTCCTGGTTATGACATCTGTAGAGGAAAGAACGACAGGTACTGTACAATAAGCACCTTATCCATCCTCCGCAGAGGTAGGGAAGGATCTACATAGGGTCTAATAGGACTTAAGCCCTGGGACCCCAGTCTCAAGGTCCGACAAAAATTGAATTAGCATCATAAATGTTTAATACTTTTTCATTAACAATGAGCACTTATCATATAATAAAAGATAGTTAATATTAATAATATAATAATAATGATAATTAATACTATTATTTGTTTTATTGTAATGAATGTAACGTAATTGGTCGGGTCCCCAAGTTGCAATTTTTAAATCCACTCTCTCGAATTCGAATGCTATAAAGAGACTAATAATAATGACAATCCTGCCTTATAAGGCAATGTCAATTCTTAATCTAACAAAAAATGGGGCCCCATTCGACTTCAATAAGCCCTAGGCCCCAGAAAACTTACTTGTTAGAACCGCCCCGGCTCATATGCCTTATTTCCTGGGCGAGTTCTGTTTAGTGTTGGGCACAATCGGTTGTAAAAATCCGATTATTCGATTGTTTTTCTTTAGAATTTACTTTAGAGTTTTAATTTTAAGGCTTTTCGCGTTTATTTTAGAGTTTTTAAGCCAGAAAGCTCTTCGGTANAAATAATTAGAATATTTTTAAAATTTAATTCGATAAAGCACTTAAAATATAAATGGGTTTGGTGAAATTAATTAATATTTTTTTATATTTAAAACGGGATACAATTTTTTTTATTCCCGTAGCACGTCGAAGAACTCGACTGAAAGGTTTTGAATCACTTTTGTGTCTCGTTAGACGTAAATTCACTTTCCACTCAAACAAGGCGCATTACTTCTCTTTAATGAGAAGGAAAATACTCGGAGGAGTGTATCACTTTATGCATCATTAACATATGTGGTTTATTTCTTAGATTTTCCAGTTCAGGGGAGACCCTTAACACTACATAAAGTGTGATAGACAATTTTACTTGATTTAGTATAGTGAGAAATAGTATTTGGGATGAAATAGTTCCGTATTTTTGAGACGAGAAATTACATTTCTTAAGACACTCGCATTGGCTCTATATATTTTGGTAATTTATATAATATTTTGCACTATCAAGAATATGAATAAAGATTTATTGATGACCTACTACACCTGTCCTTTGTTTATATAAGTTTAAAATATCACTAGCATGTCTTCCTTTTAGTCTCCGTGTCATCACTAATCACTATCACTCTCAATATCTAATAATATTGTATGAATTCTTATCATCCTACATTTACCCATTTTATTTGTCAACCACTAACTCATCATCCTCAAATAACCTCTTAGTTATTATGTGCCTGTAAATATGTTGAATATCTTGTCTAAATAGTTGGAATTTCTTCTTTTTCCTCTAATTTGAAATCCAAGACCTAAATTTACTGACTTTTAATCCCCTCTCTCTAAAATAATTTCGAGTGTTTGCTGCTGATTCTTTCTATGCTCCAGCCAAACTTACGCCTAGACGCGATCGAAGCGCTCGAAGTGGCAGAAATATTTATTAAACCAGTATCGTAGCATTGGGGCTATTGGTAGCGCAAGGACCAGTATACAGTATATCGACTATACTAAAACAACACCAACTTTGTTTGTATATGGTAACGCGACTGCCGAGAGAGGAAGCCTCCCAGGAGGACTTTCTGTAAGAAACTGGCCTCCATTTAGGTGTTACAGACACGAATAAAATCCGAAAACTCCACGTGTCTCTATAAAAAATCAGTTTCTACTTAACATTTCGTGTCAATGAGTCAATCAATTAATCAAGTGAGTAAAGCTAATGAAAGTATTTACTATTGGATTAAATATAATATAAAAAGGAAAACACACTCTCCCTTAAGAATCTCCTTATTTTATTTCAAATTCTGAACAATTAATCAAATTTGAAAATACGTAATTGTACACACGAAACCAAACATATCAATCGTTATTATTATTTATAAAATCCTGTAAAGAAATATAAAGAGAACAATTAATTATATATATTGAAGTTTGTATTTTTAAAATTTAATAAAATAAATATTTATTACCATAACTATATTTTCACATTCTTTAGCATTGTTCTCCATTGCCTAAGGTTAAATTTAAAAAAGAAATATTTAAAAAGTCAGCGGTTATACTTTAATATCAAATTACATATTGACTAAGTTCTTACAGTTTCTACAAATTTTCCTAATTCTTTCCACATTTCCTAAATATGAAAACACTTTATATTATTTAAATAATTAATTTAATAACAATTTAAACGAAATAAAAACATCAAGCAAGGCAAATAAATAAATAAATAAAAATATTTTATGCTTACCCAACTCATAAAACCATGGTAATCATTGCATATCTGTTTAATTAAATCATAATAACGTATTATTTAATAATATAATAATTTATTGATTATCATTATTATATTATAAGATTATATTAACGATAGATCTTAGAATAAATATTTTAAGTATAGAAAATAAAAAAATAAAAAAATTTCTACCTGAGTTTCATTATCCGTTTGATAAAGGCATTCATATATACTTTTAAACTAAAATAATAAACCGTAAATAATGAATAATGAACACTTTTAAAAGATTTGATTAACTTACCTGGTTCTTCATATCGGGATGGCAATTCTCGTTTCCTTCGATAGCTAAATAAAATAATTCAAAAAATATTTAATATTGTATATACAGTACTTAACAATATAATATAAAATAAAGTAATAAAATACATACCCATAAAATAGACAAGGATAATGTATAAACAGAATAATGTCTTCATTTTCAACGAAATAAAACTTCTCGAACGAAGCAGCTGAATAAATAGCTCATATTTAAATTCTACATTCAATTTAATCGAATGTGATTTGTTCATTGTGTTTTATTTCCTGCTAAAAGAGGCGTGGAACCTGTCTTGAAACTTTAATGGTTATTTCTATATTATTACGATTAGATTGATCGTAGAGATGATTATAAATATATACGATCGGATTGGTCACTCAGATTTCTTTTACTAAGTTCGAAGTGTTTCTGTACAAAATAAAAAATATTAACCTATAGTCCTATACTATACATAAGTTTAGTTTTATAAAGGAAAACAAATATTAAGTGTTACACGACTTTAGTAAAAGTTAATTACGGGTAAGTAAACATTACTTAGGTATAGGAAAGTTATATGCTCATTGTGGTCACATAACAATTATTACTTTCCCAGCTGTTATAACAGAGATCCGTCAAAAAACTAGCACCTCCCCCTCCCCTAGATTTTAAGTTTTGGAGTTAGAACACATTGAAATGTCGAGAAATGCAAAAACTTCGGGAGTAATTTCTGTATGTATAGATATTAGTGTATGTGTAATGTGTAAGTGTGGCAGACACATTTTGTTCACCCTGTTTCAAGCTTAACACTTATTACTGTATGTATACAAAGTGACTCAGGAAATGGCTACACGTTTGATCTTATCGTGTACAGACATGATGACGCTATTTGATTTACCGGAACCGAAAAGTAACGTTTTGTGCGTGTGACGTAATAAACAGGAAGTATCTTTTACGTCACTGGATTGTAAACTAAGACCGAAGTGACATCCTAAACAGAGGCGGACTAAGGCTAAAGCGGGCCCTAGGCAACATTGTAATTCCGGGCCTATTTTTAAAATTAAAAAATTAAAAACCTAATTTTTGGAGCCCCAAAAATTACGGGCCCTAGGCACGTGCCTAGGTTGCCTAGGCCTTAGTCCGCCCCTGATCCTAAAGGGCCTATTGCTAGGTCGTGGGTTATATTATGACACCTATTGTGAGGGTCACGTTACCCATACGAGATGAAACCGATCTCGTATGGGGGTACTGAAGTAAAAAGACGGAGGAGGCAATAGTCGAGAGTTAGTCGGAAGATAAAGACTTTTTCTTAATGGAATGGCGGGAGATTTCGTGTAATCTCGAGATAGATAAGTAGAATGGTAACACTTCTATGTTGGTTAGGGGTTATTCAAAAAGTCACTGAAATCACCATTTATTATTCTTATACTTTTAATATATATATATACACATTATATATATATCTTGCATATTTTTATTAAACTTTTTCTCTAAATTAAAATTAAATTAAAGATGTCTAATTTCACTTTGATCACGCAAAGAAATGTCCATTATTATTTTAGAACACCTGACTATTGTTAAATAAGGAACAGGAATATACAGTATATTTGTTCATTTGTTTTTACTTTAATTTCTCGCATGAAGAAAGACTTACCGTAGTCACTATGAAAGATTATTACATTAAAAGCGTGGAAAATCTCGTTATTTTTCTATTTCTTCTCACTTGTAAGTTTAAACAATTAAATTAAGTTTTAGTGATATTTTAAACATAAATACTGAACGTTATTTATTAGAAATAATTCAATTTTAAATCTAATTTATTTATTTTCGTAGCCGTAGTTGTTTTCGGAGATTCCGAAGATACTCCAACAACTGAAGCGCCTGTTACAACTGCTACTGAAACCACGGTCGGATCAATGCCCGATGAAACTGTTGAAGTACATTCGACTTCAACTGCTACAGAATCCACTAATAATCCAACTGTTACTAGCACTGCTTCAATGCAACCACAAGCAACCCATAAAGATGATTCTGATGATGATGATGATGATCGTATTGGATCTATGTCCGATGAAGATGAAGCTGAAGACGAAGAAGGTATAGGTGACGAAGCTATACCAGAAGAAGAAATTGCTCTTGAAAAAGTAACAGAACCTGAAACAAATAATGCTAAATGTGGATATGATGCAGATATTACGGTAAGAGTTATTTGCAAAGGAAGATTTAATAAAATTTGTAATAATTCATTTCTGAAAAGATTATTGAGATTTTTACATTTATTATTTTATAACATAGATGAAAGTGATATGTTTAGAAATGTTGAAGCAATATTTGAATAAAAGCAGTTGGGTGAGTTATTCTCCATAACTGTTTCTATAATATTTTAAATCAGTGTTTCTCAACGGGGGCGATATCGCCCCCATGTGGGCGTTTTTCCATGTTGAGAGGGCGATTAGTAACAATTTATATTTTGGGGGCTAAAAACAATTTTCTGGGCGATAGAGTAAAACATTATATTAAGAATAATTGGATATTTTATTCGTTATATCGTACAATAATTAAACAAATAACATTATAATAGTCACTAGTCTATTCAATGCAGTACGAATTTGGCGTTAGTCTTGGTCCTCGGCATTGAAATTTTGAAGTAAAGGGAGCGATAATAGGTAACGGTTTTATTGAAGGGGGCGACGATTCGTTAGAGGTTAAGAAACACTGTTCTAAATCATATTCTTCATAATCAATTCTAGAATTACTAAACTTAAAACTAATATATAAATTTACATATAGATTTTGAAATAATAAATATTTTTAATGATTAAAATGCAGTTTTAAAAAATCTATTTATTTGTTTATTTGGATGTTTATTCGTTCGTTTGTGCTACCAATTGCTACGAAACTCGGTATTTACATTCAAATACTTCTAACTTAAATCATGTCATAAATATCACCCCCAAAACATCGTTTGAATTTCTATATATCAATTAATTGCTGTCTACATTCATTTGCCGGATTTTTACGAATCGTCATCTATTGGCAAAATTACTTAAGAAAATAATAAACTAAATATAATTTTTAAAAGGGATGTAATTTTAAAAAATATGTATTATATTTACTTAATTACTGCAACAGGTAGCACATAACACTTGCTTGCGTGGAATAAAAAGTCTATAAGTATTTAATTTTCCACATCTAGCCACTCAGGATTTTCATTTTTGAACGGTACTTTCTAAATTCTAATAAATGTCCTCCAGTAGCCGAGTGGATAAAACCACCGAACACTGGTAATTAGTTAGTCCTGGGTTCGAACCACGCGGATTTTTCTGGGTTTTCTTTGCTTTAGTAACACCTAAATAATCTCTAAACATTAATGTAGGTGCAACGATTTTAAGACACAAAGTAGATCTCGAAATATTTTTCTGTACCGATGTTCATTTTTCTTACTTATTATCACGGTGAGATTGCTTCAACAAAAGCTTCCTGTAGTTGTAGTCTGTATAACATGCCCTTTATATTTTATTGCTGAGCTTCACTTGTACATAAAAGCAATTGTTCTCGCGTTTTTACAAGATTTTTTTTTATTTAAACAATTCTTATGTGAAGTCTTTCGGACGTTAAGGTTAGCAACTTCGATCACATAAGGAGCCAACACGAATCACATTTCAAATGTCAATAGTAGATCAGTATTAAAAGCCAGCGAGGTTTATAGTTATTTATTGCAAATTAATTGATAATACAGATCAGAAGCTTATATTGGTTAATCTTTGTTGTTATTTTTTTCTGGGCAAGGCTGTCTTACCTGCTGGATATAAATATTTTTTGATTGTAATAAAATGAATAATTTTTTCAGGTAAAATACGAAGCTCGTCAAAAAGATAAACAGAAAGCGTTTGAAAAAATAAGTAATGCCATGTGCTATGAATCTTCGAAAAAACACTGGGCAAGAAATAGGTTGGATTACAATACATACAATGTAAGTTTTGATCAAGAGCACCCACAGGGAGGAGCCATCGAGTGCAGTTGCCCTTCCGAAATTGTTTTACTCTTTGCCTTTATTATTTTTTTCAGTAAAATTTTAATAAGCAAACGTATTTTATAAGAATAAAGTCTTTCCATTGAAGGAATGCAGTCTGCAAGCGACTCGATTGTTCCTCTAGCTCAAATTAAGGCTCTATGCCAAAAATGTATTTGGAAGATTCCGTGAAAATAATTCATGATAATGTAAGTAAAAACAAACATATTTAAAATAATAATCATCATTTTATTATATTACATATTTAAATACTGTATGCTTTTTTTTCAATTGTCGTGATAAGTTCCTGCGTTGAATATTCAATTTTTGCAAGAGTTTTTTCAACGGTGAATTAGAGCGTTGGTAATTTTTGTTATAAATGCTTCATTACAACGTTGTGAGCATTCGTAAGGCTTATAACCTTATAAGTATGTGCGAATTCTTTCGTTATGAGCTTACAAGGTTTAAAGGTAACCAATTGGGGGACACTTTTGCTTATTACAAAGCAAATAAGTTGTAGCAAAAGATTAATGTTACTTTTTCAAAGATGGCAAACGAGAAGAAGACACGATTTCACTTTTACTTCCCTTCAAGTTATGACCATAGGGTCGTCCCTGCAGATAAAGATTCAAAAGTCCTGTTAGCATTCGATACCTTAGCGTATTGCATTATTCGGCTTGCTTTATTATTAAATTAATAACGTTGTACGCTTTGTTTTAAATAAATAATAATGAAAATAACGTATAATGTTGAAGTTCCAAGTACCGGAATTTTCGAAATAATGTATGGCAAGTTGGCAACTCACTCGGTGCAAATCCCGTGGGCGCTCTTGTTATTTTAATTCTGTTAGTACAGATGATAATTTACTAACTATTAAAATAATTACATAAATTGTGTCTTATTAAGTCTAACATTTAAAACAATCTTTTATTTCAGTTTATCTCCGGATACTTTAAAAAATTTTGTAAATGTTTATAAAATTAGTCAATAATGATGCATTTAACTTGGACAAATTAAATTTGACAGTCGGACAGATTCCATTTAATCTCGGTATAAATTTTTAATTAATAATATTTTATTTGTTAAAATCAATTCTACGGTGTAATTAATAAATTAATAAATTATTTAATGTGTAACGTGTAGTAATTCTATTAAATTGTCGTGTAATAAAACAAAGAAGTGGTTATAGAGTCACGTTTTATAATACTTTCGGCTGTTATATACAGCAAAGGGATAGAATGGCGATCGATCAGAAAATAACTATTGGATTTAGGGATCTTTGATCGCTTTTTTTTCTGAATATATGGAATGTTTGTTTTTTTGTGTGTGGGGGGAGGCACGATTCTGTTTACCCAGTTTGAAATAAATTTTGCTGGCAAAAGTTCGAGAGAGTGGGCGAATTGGGAGGTCGTGTTTCATATTTAGAGTGTAAATTTGTGGGCAGTACAGTTTAAAAGGTTATCCAGACATCCAAATAATCACACACAACGATCTGGTTGTTCTGTTAAATTCTTCGACAATTCGTTGATCGCGATTATCCACCATTAAAATAACTTGAATTCATTTCTAATTACTCAACACCATGTAAAAGAATAAACAATGAACAACATAAATCCTGTGGTTCTAGTATTATGGGTCATCCGTATTTACTTTTAAGGAATTTTATGTATTGGTGAAGCATTGTCTAAAACATCGTTCGCCAACCGGTGGTCCGTGCATCACTGATGGTCCGCGAGAAATTTTGGTGTTAGTTGGAAAACTTTGGATGTTGATTAATTCAAGGTTACACGAAGTGTTACGAAAGAAATGCAAAATGCTTGGTTGCTTTTTCTTACACATTAGGGATTTGTTTAAAAAATTCACGATAATGATTCAAAATTGTCAGTTCGGTGGTTTGTGAGATTAGAAAGGTTGGCCACCGCTGGTCTAAAACACTAATAGAATAATGATGTTCATTTTTCAGCGTAGAATGGAGAAAGAAAACTTAGATAGACAAAAGTTATATATTTAAATCACATTAAATTTATTGGTCTTTCAACGGTTAGATGTTGAAAGACCAATAAATTTAAATTTAAATTTAAATTTAAAAACACCAAGATTTTACCTATATATTGAGACTGGATTTTCCTACATCGTGTGTAGAATATTCTTACAAGAGTAGTTTCTTCCGAGACCTCGAAGGCCGTGAAGTCCGACTTGAGCAACATCGAGTAAGAATGGCTTTGCCAAGATTTTAGCAATTCTTCTTGAATTTCTTGAAATCTCTACTCTTCTCAATTCTTCAATCTCTACTTCTCTTAAAAAAGTATCCCGTCATGCTTCACGGGAGAACTTTTAGTAATTTATATAATGATTAAATTGACAGTATTTAAATAACATTGTGTAAAAAAAGAAACTAACAAAATAATAAATAACAATACGAAAATCATCGATAACAACAAAAAATGGTTAAGTTGCTAGAGGCTATATAAGAAGAAAGGACCAGTAACATAAGCAAAATGTACAGTGTACACGAACGAAGTCCACTAGTAGAGCCACTGCGTGCTTAGTAAAGTAAGCACGCAATGGCACTTCACAGCTTTAGTCAGGGAAGCCAAAATCTCTAGGTGAAAAAGAATTTGATTGATGGAATAAAACAATGCAACACTTGGGCGCAGATTACCCAAATGTTTCACTGTTCAAATGCAAGTGAAAAAGTACAAAAAGATGTTAATTCCGGGGAGGACTTTCTATGGGAAACTGGCTTCTTTGTAGGTGTAACAAACGTAAAGAAACACCCGAAAAACTCCACTTGGCCAGCCTGTTAGCGATTCGCAAATTCACGACCAACTACCAGTGTACAGTGGTTTTATCAACTCGGCCACTGGTAAGAAAAACTTCACCAACATCAAATTACGTTCAACTGATCATCACCCCTTAGATAAACTGATGATAGAGAAACTTCTTATAAAGTTCTTAACGATTTTACTCACTGAAAGCTCAAATGTTTGTTCACGGTGATAAATGATTCTGCATTTCTACTTAGGCCGGACGTCAAAGAACAATAAAGACGAGGTCCACGCCCAGCTACCGAACATAATTAAATAATTTTGATATCGCGTAACTCATAAAAAGCATTTATTTATTTTTTTGAGATTTGAAATGTTTCCGTTACCGAAATAAGCGCCTGATTTTGACTACTTTACGCCTCCACGTGTGTATAAAAATATGTTTCTATTCAACGTTTCGTGTCAATGAGTCAATCAATTAATCAAGTGAGTAAAGCTAATGAAGGTATTTTCTATTGGATTAAATATAATATAAAAAGGAAAACACACTCTCCCTTAAGAATCTCCTTATTTTATTTCAAATTTTGAACAAATAATCAAATTTGAAAACACGTAATTGTACACACGAAACCAAACATATCAATCATCATTATTATTTATAAAATCCTGTAAAAATATAAAGAGAACAATTAATTAATTATATATATTCAAGTTTTTACTTCCAAAATTTAATAAAATAAACATATATTTACCATAATTACTTTTTCACATTCTTTAGCATTGTCGTCCATTGCCTAAGGTTAAATTTAAAAAAGAAATATTTAAAAAGTCAGCGCTTGATACTTTAATATGAAATTACAAATTGACTAAATTCTTACGGTTTCTATATATTTTCGTAATTTTCCCTTTATTGTCTAAATAAAAAAAACACTTTATATTATTTAAATAATTAATTTAATAACAATTTAAACGAATTTAAAGCATCGAGAAGTGTGAAGTTGTTTAAAAAAAATATAAATTACAAAATAAAAAATTATTTTATGCTTACCCTATTCATAGAACCACTGCGATAAGTACACATCTGTATAAATTTTCAATATTAATTATAATTTAATTTAATTTAATATTTTAATATATTTCATCCTTAATTATCTATTTTAAAATGCAATCACTAAAAAATTCCAGAAAGCACTTGCTTAACTTTCCCGGCAACATTTAAACAAGGTCTTAACTTAAACATAACGTCGAGACACCAACGTTCCCTATGAAGCCGCCATTTTGGATCAGCAGTTCCAAGGTTACGGTATAGATTTCATGCTATAAACTGCACTTTCCTTCGAGTTCCAGCCACGGAATTCCTTTTATAATTTTAAATATATATATTTTTTCATTTAGAGGTTACTCTGACACATAATTAAAGGCTTTAACAAAGTAGGTTTACATTTTTTGGAATAAGCTAGCAGAATTGTTTACATTAATGACCTAAGGCACGTATTACGTGAATCACACATTACGTGCCTTTCGTATTTAAAAAGCATTATAGACTACCAGAAAGGAATTAAGCATGTACTAAGCTATATTAAATGAGCGCTGGTGTTTATGCTTTATACAACTAATACTTCGATCTCCCCTACATTATTATACTCAAATCTTCTGATGTGCCGAAGACTATTATAAACTTCGTTCTTAAGAAGCATAGACCATAATTTTAATATTATAAAAATAATAATACCTGATTTACATTATCCGTTTGATGAAGACATAAATAAATACTTTTAAACTAAAAGAAAAAAAAAGTTAAATCATAAATAATTAACAATTTTCCCGTTTAGTAGACTATATAAAATTTGATTAACTTACTATCATTATATCAGGACAATTATCCTCTTTTCCTTCCATAACTAAAAAATAATTTTAAAAAATATTTAATACCGTATATACAGTACTTAACAATGTAACTATGATAATAATGTACAGTACCTATAAAATATACAACGAAAATGTATGAACAGAAGATCGACTTCATATTCTCTGATAATAAGTTAAATATGGCTTCTCCAACGATACAGCTAAGTTTCAGCTGAATAAATATTTCGTATTTGACTTCTACAGTACATTTAATTTAATCGAAGGTGATTTGTTAATTGTGTTTTATTTTCTGCTAAAAGAAGCGTGAAACCTGTATTAAAATTTTAATATTTATTTTTATATTAAAGTCGACCCCCCTATAACACTGTCGATAATTCCGTTTTATATGAATTCCGTGTTGTACGAGTCACTTAGATTTTACAAATACGTGTGCCGAGCTGTGAACGGCTCGCGTATTTGTAAAATCTAAGTGACTCGTACAACACGGAATTCATAATCTACAGTGTTATAGGGGGTCTACTTTTCACACAAATTAATATTTTGTCAATCATTTTAATAAATTAACGAATATTTTATTTCTCCTTAAATTAAAACTGTATTAAACTGATTATAGAATTTCAGTTAAAATATTTTTTATGATTTTGTATAAATTATTTGTATACAATTGATATTTTTGTCAATTAATTCTTAAATAGAAACAAATACACCACATCAAAATAGTAAAGTTTTATTTAAATAAAATAAATTTATAATTTTCAAATATTTAAATTGAATGACAATTAAAAATTAATTTCTTACAATTTTAAATGCAAGAAATTCAAATTTTGAATTTTATTTCGGTAATAACTCCATTAATATCTAATATGACAGCAACTAAAAGTGTATTTATGATATTTTAAATCACACAATACGGTTTCAGTTATTTTCCGTGTTTTTTTGATGATTTCCGTTGAATTTTTTTCTTTGACGGTTTTCCTCGAATTGTTTTCTTTATAATTTTTTTGGCTTTTTTCATTAGCTTTTTTTCTATAGATTTGGGCTTTTTATATAATTTTTTATTCTTATACTTTGCTTGTTCTAATTGTTTCGCAGGAAATGATATACTTTCGATGACTTCTTCGCTGCTTTCTTCGCTCGAATCTTTTACTATCTTTATACTTATTTTCGATGGGTTTTTAGGTTTGGTAGGCTTTCTATTAATGCTATTAATCTTCTTTGTACTATTTTCTTCCTCTAAAACGTGTGAACATATGGCGAAATATTCGATTATATTTTTAATGCTTTCGTTACATATAACGGAATTGTCGGTATCATTACACATCATAAAATACTCAGTTCTGTTGTATATTGTACCGTTACACGTAATTAAATAGTCAGTTCCATTTGACGTATTGACATCCACAAAGATTTTCCAGCAGCTAACTAGAATAGGAAAAAAACAAGAAAACATTTAATTTGTTTTTATAATTATTACCCGTTTTGAAAAACATAAAGGAAACAGAATTAATTGTCTATTACAAGGGGAACAGAATCATTCAGTTTGGTTTGTTTATTTACTAAGTTACGGCAAGGCAATGTGGGCGATCCGCTTAGGGGATACACTTCCTCGGGAGGTGTTTTTAAGAGTAACTGGCCCCTATTCGGGAGTTACAGACGTGGAGAAAATCTAAAAATCCACGCGGCTAGCCCTTCCTAGCGAGGCGCGAACCCACGACCGAACTACCAGTGTTCGGGGAACGGACCGCTTGGCCACTGGTAGGTCGTTAATCAGTTTGGAAAATAAATTAGTATTTTATTTATGCAAACTAATATAAATTTTAAATAGCATATATAAAACTTCAGGAAAATATATAAATAAAAATGCATATTTGTTTAGAAAATATTTTAAATAATGACTTACGGGAGGAGAACAGAATTAATTCAATTAATTTCATCATATTATATTTATACTTCGTAACTTCTTCGAATCAACTGTAAATTGTTCGTCTTCGGGGAGATTATTTATTATACCTTTTATTGGCAGAGCGAAGCAGGTGTAAAGATCAGGAAGAGGAAGTCTCTTACTAAAGTAAACGTGGGAATTTCATTAAGTTTTTACAACGTAAGAATTGAATTTTTACGTGATATCACGATTTATTTCGAAATTAAATAAATGCTATTACAGAATTTATAGAATATAATAAAGGGAAAGTATGGTTATCTGTCAAATTCTTACCCCCTCCCATACTTTTCCTCCATTTCTCGACGTTTTGACCCTCTGCCAGCACAAAAATGTAAAAACCCTCATTGCAAAATTCCGTATATCGGCATCTATTTTGCATTAAATCTTATAACTTAATTAAATCTTAACTGTACTGAGGTGAAAGAGTGATGTGCCAGAGGGGGTCGCGAGATACCTGAAAGCTTAGGCGAACGGCCATGAGTTAACAACACACGCTTTCATATTTCAAATATTTCCTATAAAATTTACTACTGTAATGCCATTTCAGTCATTTAGTTTTCATGATTATTGTCGTAGTTCGATCAACTTGCCTTTTGTTTTTGTTAGTTACGACAACGTAACACTTGGGCGATCTGTCTAGGGAAGAAATTGTTTAATGTATCGAAGACAGGTTGTAAAAAAACAGGTCTTCAATATACATTCTACGGTTGTAGAGATCAAATTAAATTCTCCGATGGGCATTTCATCCAGATATTTGGAAGGCCAGGGCCTTCAGTATACTAGCCACCCCATTGCCGTCGCCCAAAAGTGATAATCTACGACGGGCACGAAAAATCGGGTTTGGTCACGATTTCCGGCCGCTAAGAGCTATTATTAAAACAAAAAATGACAAAAAAAATAGACGTGAAAACACACGAAATTTTCGTTTTTATTTTTCTACATTTTTGTTTTGGGCTCACGACTCAACGTGAAGTAGCATACATAAACCGCCGATTTTAGTAAAAAAGCCAGAAATTTATATACAAAAACACTAGGGGAAAAATATCCATTCATGTATAACTTCAATATAGAAAAAATTAAAAATTTAAAATAAATTTTTCACAACGAAGAGTTAATTTTTCTTCAGAATTTAACATAGAACGGTATCTGTTAATCTAACATTGCAGCTCCTCTGAAAAGGAATGAAAAATACGTATAAAATGTTAGCTTAGCAAAAAAATAAAGTAACAGTATTTAATTTACTTACTTCGATCGTATCGTACCAATCAGAACACTTTGGATTATTCCTCCACCATTGCGCCACTTTCTGTATAAAAGCAAAATGTATTACATTCGAATATTGAAAAGACAAACTAAGATACTATTGTACACTTACACTATTGACTTCTCGTTGCATTAGAGTAGTTATTATCTGTAATATTATTCATAAAATATTGGGAAAAAAGGTTTCATAAATACTAAAAAGATAAAAAAGAGAGAGAACTTACAAGTCTGTGCAATGGGAAAATAGGAGCTCTCGAACAAGCCTTCAGGAAAAAAAAATTGTTTTATGTCGAATAGGATAAGTCTTGTATGCAAGATATATTCCGAACGATTATTTTTTAAATATATTTTTTACAACAGAAAAACTTGAATTTTAGGTTAAAAAAATTAATAAAGATTTGACTACTTACAGTTCTATTTTTGTATCTCCGATAGACATTTTCAAATAAGGAGTCTATCTAAAATTTAATACAAACATACGTATAAATAGATTTATACAATACTTTTTGAATAATTTACAGAAAAGATATTTAATAATATTTAGCATTTTATGACTTACAGTTTCTTCTCTTTCTGGATAACCACTTCCACTAAAATCCCCTTCAATTTCTATACAATCTGTTAGAACATATTAATTTTTTCATTAATATAATTTAATAATTAAAAACTATATAAGAAAAATTCCGTACTCACTTATATTTGATGTAATTATTAAAGTTATTAAAAGAATAATCCCAAACATTCCTACCAGGCTGATGATATTCATACCGTATTATCTCGATTTGATACGCTACTGGGAATAAAGGAAGTATTAAAAAGTGAAGCTCCTATTATTTTCTGTTACTGTTGAACTCTATTTACATAAAAATAAAAGCTTTTCCTTCAAAAAAATAATAAAAAAAACTATGTCAATGTTACCTGAACAAATAAATTATATTAAAACCCGTTAAATTCGAGGGTGTGATAGTAAATTTATATTTAAATCATTAAATTAAATTGTTCTTTATTTAAAAAAACACACACATATTTATGCAAATTTAAATATTTTCTATTGTTTTAATAGTTTATAAATTAAGATAATTCAATATAAATTTGTTAATAATTTTGTATAGATTATAGAGGAAAATTTCGTAAACATTAATATACTAGAAAGAAATTTTCCTTTATCCAAATAATTAAATATTTTCTAATTAATTATACGTTTATCCCATGTTGACTTTACTCTTACGCAATTACCATTGAGATTTTTACTTTCCCTGCTTATGTATAACAGAGGAAAAGTATGGCGATCGGACAAAAAAATGACCCCCCTCCCCCGAAGATTTTTACATTTTTGGACTCCGGACCTTGAAACGTCGAGAAATGCCAAAAATGTCAGGGGGTTTCTTCTGTATGTAAGGATGTGTGTGGTGGGGGCACGATTTCGTTCACCCTGTTTAAAGCTTACTAACTCCTGTGATTTTTGTCGAAATTTTTTGAAAGTTTGCAGGGAGGCTTTTGTATTAGGAGGATTGACACTATTAAATTTTGGCGGTTAAAGGTCGAGCGGGTGTGGAGATATAAGTGGGTCGTGTCTCATATCTCGAATAGGGTCGGACTTAATGACGATTTTACTCGTTATTAGCATTTAAATTTTTTATAAAATTCGTCAAATAACAAATTTGTTTATTGTTTAGTTACGGCAACGCAACACTTGGGCGATCTGCCTACCAGAGAAGTTTTTTTAAGAGTAACTGGCCCCTATTCAGACGTTAAGACGTGGAGAAAGCACGGAAAACTCCACGTGGCCAGCCCGTCCGAAACCACGACCGAACTCCCAGTGTTCGGGGAACGGAACTGTTTGGCCATTGGTGGGACACAAAACACAAATAATACACTTAATTAAACATTACTTTTTCGTCAGTTCGGTTAGGTATAGGTCACCCGTAGCCTACTGAAAGCCGTTTGGGTAATTAATTAGTAAGTGGGAGATCGCAACTTCACGTATAAGACACGGGGCAATTTTTGAACCTTTTTTTTTTACAAAATTTGCAACTTATATTCCATAAAATAAGGTTAGTTTTTCAAAAGTTAGTGAACAGAAAAGATAATAATAAAATTTATTTATCACAAATATATTCAAGTTATGCTATTTGTCACTAGACGCACGTTTCTACTGAATCCATCATTTACACTGTGAATATTTGTTAATTTTTAAGAATTATAGAAAAATCTTATTTATTATTACGAGACAAACAAACAATATTAATTAATTTTTATGCAAGAGAATAGCAATAAAAGAAAGTAGGCCAAGTATACATCGATACACAAGACATGAAATACAGCCTAAAATCCTCTAATATATATGACAGAGCTATAGATGATTTATGGAATAATTACGGTTTTAACTTTTTAAGAGTTTTGAATTTAGATTTGAAAGGTTGTATAGTGTCTTTGACAGGATGGCAGAACAGAAATAAGATTGCTGCCAAGATAATTAAGAAAGCGACTATAGGAGAGTTGAAACTATGGCCGAAATTACTACATCCCAACATACTCCCTCTCTACGAACGTATCAGATTAGAAGAGTATACTGTGGCTTTCATTATACCACTGAAGTCCGGAAATGTATTAGAAACAATGAAAAGAGAACATTACAAAAATTACTTCGACAGTTTCTTTATTCGCAAGAAATGGTTGTTTCAAATATTATGCGGGCTTAATTTTATGCATCAAAAGGGTCTTTATCATTTAAATATGAAATTAGAAAACGTGTTAATATCGAACAGATCGAACGTTACAATATGCGGATTTCAATTTATAACTACCGAAAACATCATAGAAGATCCGAAGAAGATTGGATGTAGAAAGGCTTATTTACCACCAGAAGTTTACTCGTGGAATAAAAGTGATTGTATAAAATACGTTTTTGTATCAGAAAAAATCGATATGTGGTCATTTGGCATAATTGCACTAGAAATAATTACCGGTAAACCCATAGAAAAACATTCTATGCTATGGAGGAGATTCAGTACAGAATGGATGAAATGGAATAAAGGGATAGAAAAGATGCTCAAAAGGATTTTAAATGATCGAAATCAATTTAAAATTCTTATCACTGATGCTTATCCAATGATTAAATTTCTACCTTGTCATATCTGTATCGTTATGAATTTCTTAAATCAATTTATTAAGAAAAATTCCACGAAAAGATCATCCGCCCAGTACGGAATGAAGCACGATTTATTTTATGTAGTCAGCATTACTGCAATTGACAGACGTGCCAACTGAAGATAATAGAAAATGAATAGCGATGGAAGATAAAGGTACATCAGTTTTATAAAATAATTTCTTTATGAACCAAATTTCGATAGTTTGAGCAAATATTTTACCTTAACTGATTCGGTAAAATATGACTTTTATACAAAGAAAATTAGTGGACATTTACTCTGAATTACAGAACATATTGTACGCTTGATTTTAATCGTTGCGTGACACGATTGAATTGCCGTTGTATTGCTTTAAATGGAGAGAAACGTGTAAATAAATTTCCTGCAATGTAGTCATTTATCGAAATATGATGCTGCAGTTGCGTGTTTATATTTGGTTTTGTTTGATGAGACACGGCGGTGCAATATTTGCAAGGAGATGCAACGCGAAAACATGGTGCATTCTACCATGGGCAAAAAAAGGGGTAATTACCTGGGTTCCCCACCAACAGGGAGCCCAAACTAATCTTTTATAAACTCCTTACTGTACTAAGAATATCGAAATCTAAATTTGGGCCATATCTGGGGTGCTAGATTGCCAGTGTAATGCGGGCTCGGGGTGCACTGGCACAGAGATGACGCATTAATAAAGGAACGAGGATACCGAAGGATTTCCCTAAAATTCCCCGAACAAAACTGAAGTCAACGTTGTACACTGGACCCCTAATTCAAATTTACCTCGGGCCTCGTAAATTTATAACGCGCCACTGTCCGGGAGGACATTTTATGGGGAACTTGGTTCCTCTTTAGGTAAGAAGAAAACCCGAAAAACTTCACCNTGTTTCTCATTCGGTTGTAAGCATTCCGTATTTTGACTGACTATAATTAAATTTATAATGTATAATAAGTTAAAATATTTAATAAACGAATGAAATTTAACGTGAAATAAACTTACAAGAAGTAGAAATCGAAGATAAAACTACGAACAAAGCGAGTTTGTATGGGGAACTTGGTTCCTCTTTAGGTAAGAAGAAAACCCGAAAAACTTCACCATCTGGCCAGGCGCGAACCCCCGACAAATGTTCAGTGATTCTCCCGTCCACTAATGGGTCAATTTAAATTTAAATTTTAGTTTCTTGTTACGAAAAGATAAAGAAAGTTACCTTTTCAGTTTGATAAACTTTTTGTATTTACACGCACCCACACTTTTATATAGGCCTATAAGAAATATATCTGTATCCACGTGTATATAATTAAATATCACGTCTGTACGTAAAAGTTAAATATAATAATTCAATGTGTCTTATTTATTTTTCAGATTATATTCGAGAAGAATTTAACTGNATCAAACTTGCTCATTCTCACTTCCTCTTGAAACAAAAGTTTCATTTTACAAAGAAAAACATTAAAGTAAATACAGTATTCTTTAAATGATAAATCTTAGTACTAAAGAATAAACACAAATTGCCATATTTATTATGTTAATGTTAAGCATAACTTTTTAAGATCTATACATCTGTTACCAGTTAAAAGATAAGGATAATTTACAGGATATTGAAGTAATAAGAAACCAAATATTTAAACAATTACATATTCCTTTATCAGCATTTCTACATTGTAGAAAATCCAGTTTTATTACTTTTCATTCTTTCAATCTGTTAAGCTAATAATCACAAGTTTTCATGAATTTGAAGTATCTGATGATAAAAATAAAGAAAAAATTATCCCTGAATGGCCACAATATAAAAAGCTAATAGTTTTAAAAACTTTTAGTTTTTTTTTTTAAAAAAAAGATAAAAATAATTGAAAATATATTTAAAAACAAATAAAATTTCAAATATTTTAACACAAATGCTTTCATTATACATCTATTTAATAACAAAACTGATTATATTGATGTTATAAGTATATCTAAAAGAATAACTTTTATATAATTAATTTTTAAAGATAGAACTACTAAAGTATTTTAGAAAAGAAAAGATTTTGAAAACTACTTTTCAAAATAAAAACTTTCCTTAACAAAATATCAATAATAAGTTATTTAAATTTAATGGAATAGTTTAAGGTAGTGAGTGCATCTGCTCTATAAACATAAATTTTGAGTAGAGAAATGAATTATTTATGAAGCAACAAATACAGAAACGGTCATCATTGATTTTACATTAAAATAAAAAAAATGTATATAAATAGGATAATTTCTTTTTTTATCTATAAGTTCTTTTGCGTCTGACCTAATTTTGAAATAGGATAATCACAAAAAGAAGGAAACCTGTAACAAATCTGGTTAATTTTTTAAAATGAAATTTCCTTGTGAAAATAACAGTAAAAACAGATATTCTGATAAAATTTCATTTTCAATTGAAGATATTTAAAGCAATNAAATTAATTATTGTTTATTTATTATTTTTTATTATTTTAATACTGAAATGTTATTACAAAGCATTAAAAATCGTAAATTTGTTTAAAATTTTGCAATTTACCATTCTAGAAGCAGAATTGTGGAATGATTGTATTGCCTTTTTATTAATAAAATCCTCGACTTTGTTTTTTTATATCTGTTAGTGGGGTATAGGGTGATTTCTCGGGGGTGCGGGGACCCTCTCTCTCCCCCCTCTCGGAGGCCCTTCCCAGAAGCCAAACAGTGAGTAAATCAAATTTAATGCTATTAAATTTTATTAATTAAACATAATTGCATAAAAATCATTGGAAAGATTTAACAATTGTTGAGATTACTGGGGAAGGAACTGACATAAAAAATCTACATCGGTGTCACCTTCCAAAGTCGAACATAAATTCGCCAATAAATTCTATTTAAAAAAATGAAAGGTATTAAAAAAATGAATGAAAATCGTAAAAAATGTCGAACAATTTAAGTTTTTCTTACTTTTATTCTCGCATTAAATGATGCACAGTCTTGAATTCCCTATTATAAATGAAAAAGAAATAAAGCATTTTAAACTTACTTCACACAATACACGAATACAATACGTGTGTATATAATTATAATTACCACAAAAGCGTTCATAAGCTGACTTAGATCAATCTATTTTAGAAAGAAAATTATATAAATAAAATTATTATTATCGCATAGAATTATATATATATATATATAAACTTACGTCGATATTCCTATCTTTCAAGCAATATAACTGAAATAAAATAACAAAATGTTATATGAAACATTAAATTTTTTTTCTTACTAAAAGTTAATAAATTAATAAAAATTACTTAGATATTCTATTATATTAACTATTTAGGTTGTATAAGAACATTTATTACTTTTCCTGTTATATAGAGGCCTATATATAAGAGAAAAAGTATGACGATCGGTCAAAAAATCACCCCCAAAGATTTTTAATTATTGTACTTAGGACATCTCGAAACGTCGAGAAATGTGGAAAAAAGGGGGTGGTTTTTTTGTATTTATGAACGTTAGTGTGTACGGGGGTGACGATTTTATTTATCTACTTTGAAGCTTAATAATTCTTGTTCTTTTTGTCGAAAATTTCTGAAATTTTTCACAGAGATTTGTTTATTAGGGGGAGATGTTTTCGAAAATTTTCAAGAAAATAGGACCGTCGGTTCAGGAGATACGACCGCACACCCCCTAATATCTTCCGAACTAATCTGAAGACTTAAATGTAATTGTAGCAATTATTAGGAATGAAAACAAATAAATTAAATAAAGAGTATTTAATAGACACAGAGCAAATTTAATACTGTTAAAAGTACATATTTACAATTGAAAAAAATCACGTTTTTGGTTTTATATAGGCCTAAATTTAATTATTTCACTTACAGTTTGCATGGGATTTTGTACATTGCAACACTTATCAAATTCCTGATCGGCGGTGGCTTGCTAAATATATATATAAAAAACAATTGTTTAAACAATTCTGTCGAAAAGTTTCTTCGGAAATATTAAAAAAAAACGTGTAAAAATTAATTTAAATTTACAACTCTTACTTACAAGCGAGCTTAAACTTTGTTGTAGACATTGTTTCTCATTCGGTTGTAAGCATTCCGTATTTTGACTGACTATAATTAAATTTATAATGTATAATAAGTTAAAATATTTAATAAACGAATGAAATTTAACGTGAAATAAACTTACAAGAAGTAGAAATCGAAGATAAAACTACGAACAAAGCGAGTTTGAACATTCTTTTCCAGCTGTGAAGAGGATATAATACGTGATGTTTGATTGTTAATGCGTTTTTATAGGAAGTCCTGAAAGAGCAATTCATTTGACAGGTGTCAAAACTCGCTTGAATTAGTTGAATATTGCTGACTTGTTTCCACACATCGTTTTTGTAATTATTGAAGGACAGCTATGGAATGATAGCGATAATATTATACTTTATTGAAATGAATACCTGTTTATGGCCTATTTCACTTTAATAACAATGATAATTTGCTACTCTATCCTAGTTAAAACTAGGACGAGTATATATAAAGTGTTTTAATACTATTATAAAATGGCAAAAAAAAAACTTAATTTTGAGGATCGAGATGGGTTTTATTAAAAAATTGTAAGCGCTAATAACGAATAAATCGTCATTAAGTTCTACCCTAATGGAGATACATACGACCCTTTTTATCTCCTCGTCCCTCCACCTTTAATTACCAAAATTTAACATCTTCGATCCCCCTAATAAACAAACATCCCTGCAAAATTTCATAAATTTTCGATAAAAAGAACAGGACTTATTAAGCTTCAAACAAGGTGCCCCACACACGTGACCTTGAATATGTATGCAACAGTTAATAACAACACATAAAATGATTAAACAGCTAAAAGAAAGCATTTGTTAAGAAGACGAGCAGTAAATTTCACTCAAAATATTATAAATTTCATTAATGATACCCTTATAATTATTTAATAATGAATATAAATAATATACCAACATTTTTATAGTCTATAGACTCATAGAGTATCAACCGTACTTTAGTGTCTCAGAAGTATCTTTATCATTTATAATTCTCTCTATTGCCATATCACTCTATTGCCATATTATTCTATTGCCATATTACTGCTTGCTATTGCTTAAATAGTAACAATAACCAATTGTAAATTTGAATAATAAATATTTATTTAAAAGGAATGCTAAATTGCGATAAACACATTGATACACTTAAAACATTTCTTGTGTTATCCATTAATTATTCGTAACAATGTATGCAAATAACAAATGAGTAATCTTTTAATTAGTTAATGAGTTAATTAAAACACAAAATAAAAATTTAACTTATGAAAGAATCGGCAGGTCCCGTGTAAACAAGACATTATAAATCGATCCCACCTCGATCTAAAAAGCTCGGGTTTGTTTAGTTTTAAAGAAAATACATATATTTAAATACCAGTGGTACGTTGTAATTTAATCGAAACTTGTTTATTTTTACGCTTTTTTTCAAAAATTTAAAATTTAAACATTATTTTAAATTTTACACTCGTAAACTATGATATGTTTGTGATAAAAAGCAAAAAACAGATCGATTCTAGCGCAATTTCGAAGTGAGATATCGCAATCTTAATAATTCTCCCAAACAATTCAATTACACGAGCATTGCGTTAATTATTTTTGATTAATTGCTCCACAATAAAAGGGTAAAAATATGACGCGAGTAGGGTTAAACACCCGAATAAGGAGCACTTATAAACACAAGGCCTGGACACGATACCGTGATGTATTGCGGCAGTCGCCATATTGAGTCTTTTGAGGTGTTTCTAGAGCAAATATGGTTGTTTGTTTCTTTCAATATCAATTAGTTGGATTTCTTGTTATATCTGTACAGTTTAAAAGCGGTTTGGTGTTTAGCACCGAATTGTTCGACAGCCAAAGGTATAAGATTCTTCCGTTTTCTTGCTGACAGTTCCAGGAGAGTGATATTATCATAAGAAATAGTCACTAATTAATTAACATTACATAACTTATTAATAAATCACGTAGCAGAGTTTAGCGCAGAGATTTCACAAATGTTATGTACTGTACGTTGCTCAGCTGTATGTACAGATTAGTATGTTACTCTCTCGAAAATTATTCTAATTTCTTTTATTCTGGTATGTATAAAGTTTGAATGACAGATGTTTCGTTATGTCTTGTAAATATTTAACGCGGTATCATCCCATAGTTGCCGAGTCAAATAAAAGAAAAAAAGATACAGCTGGAAAAACAATAAATAGGGTTGAACTATAGAATAGTGCTTGACGGCGTTATCGTCTCAAGATTCTGACCAAAGTATCGCATATAGACGAAAAGTGAGAATAAAGATCCATCGCCACCCGGTTAGACATAAGTAAACTATTGTTTATAATTATATTCGACAATTCGAGAAAGTGGAATAACTCTGTGAAATATTAGCGAAGATGATTTCCTCAAACCACGTGGCGGATAAAGGATCCACAGAGCAGAACTCTACGCCACATAACAAGTTGGTAAGTAAAAGGGAGTCGGAGTCGACGGATTTTTTGACGACTCCGACTCCGACTCCGGCTAAAACACCAAAACTCCATGACTCCGACTCCACAGCCCTGAATTAAACAGAAGCACGCGATAACAGTTTTGTGAATATTGATTTTTAAATTACGACTGGCAAATGTGGAGTTAATATCAGTTTGTAGGGAGGAAGGATCGTCAGACAAAATTTTAATGTCATCTTCATAGGCAATTATTTTGGAGGACGGGTTGATCAATAGTTTATCTGTATGGTTTCAATAACTGAAACATAAATTTATAAAATAAAATATATTTAAGATAAGAAATTACAATTTGGTAACGATATTAATAAAATCCAGTAAAAATATATAAAAACAAAAACAATTTAAAAATGAAAATAGATGTATTTTTAATGTATAATACTACATAGGCTAAATAAGAAATTAAAACTTAAAAATATTATTTTTCTGAAACGACATTGTAAATAATATTGTATAATGCAACATTTACATTTATCTTTGTTTTTTTTAAAAATAAGTGACAATCCATTGTTCAATTTTAAAAACATCCAGCAACGAGTTGCGTAACTTTCCCGGCAACAACAATTAAAACTTTGTGTGGCGTCATCTGTTAAGATGTTTTACTAAAAAACACTATGCTATTAATTATTATAAAATGGTAAAAGACTTCATTTTGAACGATAGGGATGAGTTTTATTTAGAAAAATTGTAAACGCTAATAACTAGTAAAATCGTCATTAAGTTCGACCCTACTGGAGATACGTGTGGAATATTTCGAGTTTTATTCGTGTGTCTGACACCTAAATAAGGACCATTTTTCCATAAAAATTCTCACGGGAGGTATAGGAGGAAAAGGCAAGGGAATAAACACCCTTAGAAAATCGTCAGATCGACCTTGTTTTACGTTGCTGTTTTCTATTAAACCAAAGCTTTGTGCTACTCGCACTCCATGTATTTTTCTTATTACTGTCCTGGCTGTTATATATAACAGAGGAAAAGTATGGCTATCAGGCAAAAAATGACATCCCCCTAGATTTTTACATTTTTGGACTCACGATTTTGAAACGTCGAGAAATACAGGGAGGTTTGTGTATTAGAGGATTGATGCTGTTAAATTTTGTAATTATTGCTATTGTTAAATCAAAGTTATTGCCATTTTATAAAAAATTAAATGTATAAAAATTTCGTTTTTTTTAATAAAATATATGTTTATTAGGTACGAAATTGGTACATACTCGTAACAAACGGCATTACCAAATGTTGCCGGAAGAGTTATGCAACTCGTTGCTTAACTATTTCGAAATTGGTTTCATATGTACATTTGTTTAGCTGAATGTAATAAAATAATATACAAAGTCTGTTAATTGATTAATTAACACCTACAAAACTTTTACTAAAACGTAGGCTTTGCTTCAGCAGGCCTATGAGAAGGACTGTATGAACCGTTCTCAGTGCCACGAGTGGTTTAAGCGTTTTAAATCGAGCACAACTTCCATTGAGGAAGATTCGAGATCGATGTTGATTGTTATTTTGATTATCGACGCGTAGGCCATCACGAATTCGTGCCACAAGGTCACACTGTTAACAAGGAGCTCTACGTAAAAGTTTTAAGGCGTTTGAGGGAAGATGTGCATCGGAAGAGGTTTGAGCTGGTTGCATGATGACAACACGCCACGTCGCACGTCTTGTCGACCAATTTTTTTACCACTAACAACGTGCCCGTCCTTTCCCACCCCAGTACTCTTCAGAGTTGATCTCCACAGTTTTACCTCGTCACCAAAGTTGAAAACGTTTTCAGAGTGTAGGTGAGATTCAACAGAAGTCTCAAAGACAGCTACTCGCCATTTTACGAAACGAGTTCCAGGAAGCATTCGAACAGTGGCAAAAACAATGGGAACTGTGCATTGGAAGCAGGGGGAGTACTTTAACGAGGACAAATATGTATAATATTGTAATCACTGTAATAAAGTTTGTATGACAAAAGTCCGGCCTTTTTTTAACAGACCACGTACTAAGTGACTTCGTGCTTGCATAGTAAGAAGTTATCCCTGCAACGATCGATTTCTCTTACTCTGAGAGCACTAAAAGCAGAGATTTTATGCTCATGTGAGTTCAACTAACTCAATATTAATCTATGTGATCCATAATGGGCGAGTCAGACCCATCTATGGGCGATTATTAGATGTTTACATAAGTTATTCTATACTGTGCTGGTATATCTCATTAATCATTTTAAAAATTATTTGTATTTTTAATGATAGTTTCACGTGTCATCGTTCTTTTTATATTTAATTATATTTATAAATACAAAATGATTTTTAATTTTTGTACACTAAATTAGTTTAATAATCTATTAATATGTTTACTGCTCCCGATGACAAAGTGGAACATCATGTTAAATAAGGTAGGAAATCTGAATATATTCGAACGTTGCTGATTTAAATTATAGAAAAGAACAACACATAATTAATAATTACTAAAATTTAATGATATTTAGGATAAATTTTGAAAATTTTTACTTCACGCTAACACATGATTTTGCTTACAGAAATATTTCAAGTCGTTATCGTCACCTTCGTAGGACTCGCACATAGCATCAAGTTTCTCCTGTAATTTAATTTTTAAATAAATATTTAAACAATTAACGATAATTACAATTATTCTACTATACTAAAAGCAATACATATTAAACGAACTTTTACCTTAAGACCTTTAACAAATTCTTCGCAATTATCTGTATTATCCTGAAATTAAAATACAGTATTAAACATGTTTTTGTAAATTAACAATTATAATTTAACTATTAATTAATATATAATGTTTTCAATTACAAATTTGTCCACAAAATTCTTTATGACTTCCTGAAAGATAAAAAAGGAAAAGTGATTGAAATGTTCACATTTAAAATACATTTAAAAAGTGTAAAAATATAAAATTATTTACATTTTTCTTCACTTTATTTGCGATGCAATCGCCTTTTTTAATGCAAGACATAATTTCGAGGCGCTGAAATTAAATTTAATATTAAATAATTTTTAAAATTAAAATTAATCATTTAAAAGCTATTTTTTTAGGTTCATATAAAAATTTATTTATTTTTTTTTATTATAATGTAATTTTTAATAATAAATTAAATTGTAAATCATAAAAAAACTTAATTCACTATTCAATTTTAATTATAATTAACATTTAATATATTAATAGATTTTTTTATATAAAAAAAATATAAACTTACATCAATTTTCTTCAAAAAGCATTTTACCTGGAAATGTAACGAATTCATTAAAATATTTAAAATAACGTAACGAAATTTATGTATTATTTCTTATTTATAAACAGAAATTACATTAAAGATAATACGCTTTATGTAATTTTATAACTGAACTAGCAGACCCCGCCACGCCTTGTTGTGGCTCAAAATGTATCTATTATAAATGTATAACACTTCCCCCTAGGAGAAAATTTTTCGAAAAATTTCTTCTTAGTGTACATTCTGTTGACGTACCCTATTAAAACGCAATCAAAAATGCAAAAACCCGCATCTAAAATAGTATAATAGAAGCGAAGTTTTTCACAGTAGGCCTTAATCCTGCCCCTCCCCCCCCAATAGGGTAATTTCGACATGTATTCGACAGCCTATGTCCACCCTGAGGTTCCATTCTAAATATTGGTGAAAGAATTTTTGAAATCGGATGAGTAGTTTTGGAGATTACCTGCTGCATACAAACTAACATACAAACATTACCTCTTTATTATATTAGTATAGATAATAGTTGAAATTATTAATATTTACCCTATTGCCTTTTGTATTAGTCTTACAACACTTTGTAAGATTAGCTTTGAGTTCGTCGTACTTTTCTTCCTATAACAAAAATATATCTTTAATAAACATTAATTAAATTACATTAAAAACAAGAAAAAATTTAAACTTACCGGTGTATTTTCGAGTTTCTCGTCAATACACTTAATATTTTCATCATTTAGACAGTTTTTATAATCATTTTCTTCTTCGGCATCTACATTCAAAGTATACATTTGTTAAATATTTGATTAATTAATATGTACAGTCGACCCCCCAATACACTGTTGATTTTTCCGTTTTATATGAATTCCATGTTGTACGAGTCACTTAGATTTTACAAATACGTATGCTGGGCTGTGAACGGCTTACGTATTTGTAAAACCTAAGTGACTTGTACAACATGGAATTCATATAAAACGGAAAAATCAACAGTGTTATAGGGGGTCGACTGTATTAGATATAAAAACCAGAAAACTACTTACAGCAGGAAATAATTAATGCGTTGAATATGAAAAATACTATGAACTTCATTACTTTAATGGATATTTCTCTGATACAGATGCGATAGTAACTACCGAAGAGGGTTTATATAGAAAAATTTTATGTATAATAAAAAAAGAAATGTATGAAGTTTATACAGATGTCAAGTTTTACGGTGTATAAATATCCTTTTCCGAAACAGTGCTATTGAATAAAGGTCGAAAGTTCAATGATTTTAAGCACGAAATACTCTTATTGTTCTGTTTAAGCTAGGTTTTTTTTATTGTGTTTAATTCAAACCTTGTTTTTTTTCGATAAAATTATCGTTTCTGTAGTTCATTGTACTGTAGTTTGTGCTATTAGTGGCTTTTTCTACTTGCTATCTCTAAATTTATGTGTCAATCGCATGCAATTTTTCATTAGCTTGCCTACGGAAAAGTATGAATAATATAAATTTTAAAGAATACTTATTAAAAATTATTACATTATGCTAATAAGGAGACATGGAAAGATATAGACAAAACAGTAATAATTAATAATATAAAAAGTTTTTAATTATATATCATAACAGATGGAACCACCACAATTTTAAATTTTTTGCAAGAGTTAAGCAACTAGTTGCTGGCTTATAAAATATATGATTATGTATATACATTTATATACAATAATAATAAATCATAATTATATATTAATTGTCATATATACTGTATGTAAATGACAATTTATGAAGTATAATTTTAAACTGTACTATACTGTACACTACATTATTACTATAATATTATGTACAGTACATAATACTGTAGTAGGAATATAGTATAGTAAATAGTATGTAATTACTACTATAATAATATGTAGTGTACAATACATTAGAATTTTAGATATATTAAAAAATGCATTTTTATTACTATAAATTTGATTGAGTATGCAGTTTAACAACAATTTTATGTTTTTAAATTTTAATTAATAAGTAGATTTAATATAATTTTTGTTCTTGGCCTACAAATTTTTTTCCTTTCTAGTTTATTTAAACATCTGATTAAAGAAACTAATATTTTTAATTTATACTTGTTCTAATTTTCTGTTCTAAATGTACAAAGGCAGAAAAAGGGATGTCCAGTTATCTGAATTTAACAATGGTTTTGTGTTAATAATAAAATAAAGGTTGAAGGAAACCAAATAAATTCATCATATGCATTGTATTCCTAGAGACCAGCTAAATAATCAACTGGATGTCTGCAATGCAACAATGGAACTTAGTTTTTTTTTTCTGGAAAATATTATAAAATCAAAATAATTAATGTTTATGAATTGAAATAATTTGCGCGTATTAAATAATACTTATTACGGTGAATGTTCCTTTTATTTTAATACACATTTTATTTTCTAATTTATTTTTAATACAGATTTAATGTAACCATCAAAAGAAGCTTAAGTTTTGAAGCTATTTATACGTTCTTATTAATATAAATGATGTCTTTTGCATTTAATAATGTCTATTGTTTAAGGCTGATTATTCACGCTATCTCCAAAAGATGGCGTAAAAGCACAATAATTTTCTATGGGAAAATCTCTATACAATAGCCACCATTTTGTTGTTTCCGTCGGTGATAGCTGTTCATTTTTATGTGCGTAAGTTTCTTGTTGTTTTTTTACTGTTCTATATGGGGTGGTCATTTCTTTTTTTAATATGGTATTACCTTGCGTTTATAACAATAAATAAATTAATAAATTTAAAAATCGCTGAGAATTACGTAAAAACCTATATATATATATATTGCATTATTTGTAATTACGGAATATTAATTACTGGTAATTTTCAAAAATTAAGCTCTCATCCAACAGGAAAGTCCGGCAGTGATTGAGTGGATAGGAACCTAGTATTTAGAACCTAGTGGATAGAACCTAGTATACCGAACACTAGTATTTTGTCCGGCTTCGTGTTCTACCAAAGGGCTGACCACGTACAGTTTTAATAAATAAAATTAACTACCAGTTTTAGTGGTTTTTATCTAATCGACTACTGGTGGGTATTTTTAACAATTGGGCATTCTTTTCTGCTTAAATATTGAATCTGTATATTTATTTTATGTATAATTTATAATAGGAAATATTTTTCTAAATTAGAGTTGTATTCCCCTGAGAAAACATTACAAAAATACAGCAGATTTGTACGAATTGAGACCAAGGAAATTCGTATTTCCTTGGTCTCATTACGTAGGAGGGTCCAACAGTGGCCAAGTGGTTCCGTTCCCTGAACACTGTTAGTTCGGTCGTGGGTTGGTGCCTGCCTTTATCTTTCTCTTCGGTGAACACTTGTAATTTCATCCACTCTTTGCATCTATTACACCTTTTTGCTTTACAAAGGAGACCCTGATCTTGTAACCACTCGATACACATTTCCTTATCTTTGACTACTTCTAATGCTAGCTTAAGGAAGTTCATTTTCAAAATTTACATATGGAAAACACGCCGTCGGGCTAATCTTACTTTTAAAGCTGCGTTCTACACACGAGACCCCGTAGTTGGTAGAAGCGCCATCTAGCGGTGAAAATGTGCAAACTACTCAAAAACACTGTAAAACGCAAGAAATCGTTAATCTGATCTTTGGTCTCCGGTCCGAAATTAGAATCGTCTCGATCCCCTAAGTTCTAATATATATACTCAAAGTCCCAAAATTCCATCTGGCCATTTTCCATGCTGTCTTGCCCCACGTGAAATTTGGGACGACGTGGTTATCCGATCTCGGTCGGTTTGTTTGGAGGAAAAAAAATAGTTGTTTTATTTCCTCTAAATTTTTAAAATTACGTCCACATTCGTCATACGATACGATGTGTCTGCCATCTTGTAATTCAATAAAACAGCTGTAACCTCTTCGTTACCGTGGTTACTTCGGTAAATACCATATAACAACCGAAGACGTCATAACGTGATTTTTAAACGCGGTTGGTTATTTCGGTTACGTTTTCTAAACGCTCCGGTAATTTGCAAGCAGTTACCGGTAACACGCCAATTAGAATTTCCAAACGAGCCCCTAATCTACGAAGTAGTTACTAGTTCCGTTTTCTGGCCACTAATCGGTACCGTACAATAAATGCAACCATTGTCGATAGATATACTGGTCCTTGAGCTATGCTTTCAAGTAGAGTTAATGTGTCAGGTTGCCGATAGCTGGCGATACAGTTGCACTATGGCGAGAAGTTGGTTTATCTATTTGGTTAGTAGGTGGTTTTTCTGTATGGCAATATAATTATGAAAACCGTAGTTTATCCTCTGATACATTTAAATCAGTGGTTCTTAACCTGTGGTCCGTGGACCACTGGTGGTCCCTGAAAGCATCCGAAGTGGTCCGCGAAAGTTATCCCAAAATTATTAAATAAATGACGACGCGTTGATGACAATGCGCACTACGTCAAGGTTAGAGCGGATAGCGGACTGGGCTGGGGTATGGTGCGCGGTCAGAAAATATGAAACTGGAAGTCACTAGCAATAAATTTGCATTTGAAGATAAAATCAGTGCGTTTATCGCTAAAATCGAGACTATGGATCAGCAAAGTCGAAAGACAGAATTTTTCTGCGTTTGATACATTGAACCCAATTATTGATTGACAGTGTGCCGAGATTAAAGGACAAATACAAAAGAACATTACAGTCCATTTGCAAAGCTTGAAAAATGAATTCAATCGCTATTTTCCTGACTGCAAGGACAAAGGTATTCGGAAACTGATTTGCAATCCTTTCATAATCAACATTTCTGAGGTGCCGGATGAAATACAAGAAGAGTTAATTGAAATGCAACATGATAGTAACTGCAAGGATACATTNCGAGCTTAAACTTTGTTGTAGACATTGTTTCTCATTCGGTTGTAAGCATTCCGTATTTTGACTGACTATAATTAAATTTATAATGTATAATAAGTTAAAATATTTAATAAACGAATGAAATTTAACGTGAAATAAACTTACAAGAAGTAGAAATCGAAGATAAAACTACGAACAAAGCGAGTTTGAACATTCTTTTCCAGCTGTGAAGAGGATATAATAAGTGATGTTTGATTGTTAATGCGTTTTTATAGGAAGTCCTGAAAGAGCAATTCATTTGACAGGTGTCAAAACTCGCTTGAATTAGTTGAATATTGCTGACTTGTTTCCACACATCGTTTTTGTAATTATTGAAGGACAGCTATGGAATGATAGCGATAATATTATACTTTATTGAAATGAATACCTGTTTATGGCCTATTTCACTTTAATAACAATGATAATTTGCTACTCTATCCTAGTTAAAACTAGGACGAGTATATATAAAGTGTTTTAATACTATTATAAAATGGCAAAAAAAAAACTTAATTTTGAGGATCGAGATGGGTTTTATTAAAAAATTGTAAGCGCTAATAACGAATAAATCGTCATTAAGTTCTACCCTAATGGAGATACATACGACCCTTTTTATCTCCTCGTCCCTCCACCTTTAATTACCAAAATTTAACATCTTCGATCCCCCTAATAAACAAACATCCCTGCAAAATTTCATAAATTTTCGATAAAAAGAACAGGACTTATTAAGCTTCAAACAAGGTGCCCCACACACGTGACCTTGAATATGTATGCAACAGTTAATAACAACACATAAAATGATTAAACAGCTAAAAGAAAGCATTTGTTAAGAAGACGAGCAGTAAATTTCACTCAAAATATTATAAATTTCATTAATGATACCCTTATAATTATTTAATAATGAATATAAATAATATACCAACATTTTTATAGTCTATAGACTCATAGAGTATCAACCGTACTTTAGTGTCTCAGAAGTATCTTTATCATTTATAATTCTCTCTATTGCCATATCACTCTATTGCCATATTATTCTATTGCCATATTACTGCTTGCTATTGCTTAAATAGTAACAATAACCAATTGTAAATTTGAATAATAAATATTTATTTAAAAGGAATGCTAAATTGCGATAAACACATTGATACACTTAAAACATTTCTTGTGTTATCCATTAATTATTCGTAACAATGTATGCAAATAACAAATGAGTAATCTTTTAATTAGTTAATGAGTTAATTAAAACACAAAATAAAAATTTAACTTATGAAAGAATCGGCAGGTCCCGTGTAAACAAGACATTATAAATCGATCCCACCTCGATCTAAAAAGCTCGGGTTTGTTTAGTTTTAAAGAAAATACATATATTTAAATACCAGTGGTACGTTGTAATTTAATCGAAACTTGTTTATTTTTACGCTTTTTTTCAAAAATTTAAAATTTAAACATTATTTTAAATTTTACACTCGTAAACTATGATATGTTTGTGATAAAAAGCAAAAAACAGATCGATTCTAGCGCAATTTCGAAGTGAGATATCGCAATCTTAATAATTCTCCCAAACAATTCAATTACACGAGCATTGCGTTAATTATTTTTGATTAATTGCTCCACAATAAAAGGGTAAAAATATGACGCGAGTAGGGTTAAACACCCGAATAAGGAGCACTTATAAACACAAGGCCTGGACACGATACCGTGATGTATTGCGGCAGTCGCCATATTGAGTCTTTTGAGGTGTTTCTAGAGCAAATATGGTTGTTTGTTTCTTTCAATATCAATTAGTTGGATTTCTTGTTATATCTGTACAGTTTAAAAGCGGTTTGGTGTTTAGCACCGAATTGTTCGACAGCCAAAGGTATAAGATTCTTCCGTTTTCTTGCTGACAGTTCCAGGAGAGTGATATTATCATAAGAAATAGTCACTAATTAATTAACATTACATAACTTATTAATAAATCACGTAGCAGAGTTTAGCGCAGAGATTTCACAAATGTTATGTACTGTACGTTGCTCAGCTGTATGTACAGATTAGTATGTTACTCTCTCGAAAATTATTCTAATTTCTTTTATTCTGGTATGTATAAAGTTTGAATGACAGATGTTTCGTTATGTCTTGTAAATATTTAACGCGGTATCATCCCATAGTTGCCGAGTCAAATAAAAGAAAAAAAGATACAGCTGGAAAAACAATAAATAGGGTTGAACTATAGAATAGTGCTTGACGGCGTTATCGTCTCAAGATTCTGACCAAAGTATCGCATATAGACGAAAAGTGAGAATAAAGATCCATCGCCACCCGGTTAGACATAAGTAAACTATTGTTTATAATTATATTCGACAATTCGAGAAAGTGGAATAACTCTGCGAAATATTAACGAAGATGATTTCCTCAAACCACGTGGCGGATAAAGGATCCACAGAGCAGAACTCTACGCCACATAACAAGTTGGTAAGTAAAAGGGAGTCGGAGTCGACGGATTTTTTGACGACTCCGACTCCGACTCCGGCTAAAACACCAAAACTCCATGACTCCGACTCCACAGCCCTGAATTAAACAGAAGCACGCGATAACAGTTTTGTGAATATTGATTTTTAAATTACGACTGGCAAATGTGGAGTTAATATCAGTTTGTAGGGAGGAAGGATCGTCAGACAAAATTTTAATGTCATCTTCATAGTCAATTATTTTGGAGGACGGGTTGATCAATAGTTTATCTGTATGGTTTCAATAACTGAAACATAAATTTATAAAATAAAATATATTTAAGATAAGAAATTACAATTTGGTAACGATATTAATAAAATCCAGTAAAAATATATAAAAACAAAAACAATTTAAAAATGAAAATAGATGTATTTTTAATGTATAATACTACATAGGCTAAATAAGAAATTAAAACTTAAAAATATTATTTTTCTGAAACGACATTGTAAATAATATTGTATAATGCAACATTTACATTTATCTTTGTTTTTTTTAAAAATAAGTGACAATCCATTGTTCAATTTTAAAAACATCCAGCAACGAGTTGCGTAACTTTCCCGGCAACAACAATTAAAACTTTGTGTGGCGTCATCTGTTAAGATGTTTTACTAAAAAACACTATGCTATTAATTATTATAAAATGGTAAAAGACTTCATTTTGAACGATAGGGATGAGTTTTATTTAGAAAAATTGTAAACGCTAATAACTAGTAAAATCGTCATTAAGTTCGACCCTACTGGAGATACGTGTGGAATATTTCGAGTTTTATTCGTGTGTCTGACACCTAAATAAGGACCATTTTTCCATAAAAATTCTCACGGGAGGTATAGGAGGAAAAGGCAAGGGAATAAACACCCTTAGAAAATCGTCAGATCGACCTTGTTTTACGTTGCTGTTTTCTATTAAACCAAAGCTTTGTGCTACTCGCACTCCATGTATTTTTCTTATTACTGTCCTGGCTGTTATATATAACAGAGGAAAAGTATGGCTATCAGGCAAAAAATGACCTCCCCCTAGATTTTTACATTTTTGGACTCACGATTTTGAAACGTCGAGAAATACAGGGAGGTTTGTGTATTAGAGGATTGATGCTGTTAAATTTTGTAATTATTGCTATTGTTAATTCAAAGTTATTGCCATTTTATAAAAATTAAATGTATAAAAATTTCGTTTTTTTTAATAAAATATATGTTTATTAGGTACGAAATTGGTACATACTCGTAACAAACGGCATTACCAAATGTTGCCGGAAGAGTTATGCAACTCGTTGCTTAACTATTTCGAAATTGGTTTCATATGTACATTTGTTTAGCTGAATGTAATAAAATAATATACAAAGTCTGTTAATTGATTAATTAACACCTACAAAACTTTTACTAAAACGTAGGCTTTGCTTCAGCAGGCCTATGAGAAGGACTGTATGAACCGTTCTCAGTGCCACGAGTGGTTTAAGCGTTTTAAATCGAGCACAACTTCCATTGAGGAAGATTCGAGATCGATGTTGATTGTTATTTTGATTATCGACGCGTAGACCATCACGAATTCGTGCCACAAGGTCACACTGTTAACAAGGAGCTCTACGTAAAAGTTTTAAGGCGTTTGAGGGAAGATGTGCATCGGAAGAGGTTTGAGCTGGTTGCATGGTGACAACACGCCACGTTGCACGTCTTGTCGACCAATTTTTTTACCACTAACAACGTGCCCGTCCTTTCCCACCCCAGTACTCTTCAGAGTTGATCTCCACAGTTTTACCTCGTCACCAAAGTTGAAAACGTTTTCAGAGTGTAGGTGAGATTCAACAGAAGTCTCAAAGACAGCTACTCGCCATTTTACGAAACGAGTTCCAGGAAGCATTCGAACAGTGGCAAAAACAATGGGAACTGTGCATTGGAAGCAGGGGGAGTACTTTAACGAGGACAAATATGTATAATATTGTAATCACTGTAATAAAGTTTGTATGACAAAAGTCCGGCCTTTTTTTAACAGACCACGTACTAAGTGACTTCGTGCTTGCATAGTAAGAAGTTATCCCTGCAACGATCGATTTCTCTTACTCTGAGAGCACTAAAAGCAGAGATTTTATGCTCATGTGAGTTCAACTAACTCAATATTAATCTATGTGATCCATAATGGGCGAGTCAGACCCATCTATGGGCGATTATTAGATGTTTACATAAGTTATTCTATACTGTGCTGGTATATCTCATTAATCATTTAAAAAATTATTTGTATTTTTAATGATAGTTTCACGTGTCATCGTTCTTTTTATATTTAATTATATTTATAAATACAAAATGATTTTTAATTTTTGTACACTAAATTAGTTTAATAATCTATTAATATGTTTACTGCTCCCGATGACAAAGTGGAACATCATGTTAAATAAGGTAGGAAATCTGAATATATTCGAACGTTGCTGATTTAAATTATAGAAAAGAACAACACATAATTAATAATTACTAAAATTTAATGATATTTAGGATAAATTTTGAAAATTTTTACTTCACGCTAACACATGATTTTGCTTACAGAAATATTTCAAGTCGTTATCGTCACCTTCGTAGGACTCGCACATAGCATCAAGTTTCTCCTGTAATTTAATTTTTAAATAAATATTTAAACAATTAACGATAATTACAATTATTCTACTATACTAAAAGCAATACATATTAAACGAACTTTTACCTTAAGACCTTTAACAAATTCTTCGCAATTATCTGTATTATCCTGAAATTAAAATACAGTATTAAACATGTTTTTGTAAATTAACAATTATAATTTAACTATTAATTAATATATAATGTTTTCAATTACAAATTTGTCCACAAAATTCTTTATGACTTCCTGAAAGATAAAAAAGGAAAAGTGATTGAAATGTTCACATTTAAAATACATTTAAAAAGTGTAAAAATATAAAATTATTTACATTTTTCTTCACTTTATTTGCGATGCAATCGCCTTTTTTAATGCAAGACATAATTTCGAGGCGCTGAAATTAAATTTAATATTAAATAATTTTTAAAATTAAAATTAATCATTTAAAAGCTATTTTTTTAGGTTCATATAAAAATTTATTTATTTTTTTTTATTATAATGTAATTTTTAATAATAAATTAAATTGTAAATCATAAAAAAACTTAATTCACTATTCAATTTTAATTATAATTAACATTTAATATATTAATAGATTTTTTTATATAAAAAAAATATAAACTTACATCAATTTTCTTCAAAAAGCATTTTACCTGGAAATGTAACGAATTCATTAAAATATTTAAAATAACGTAACGAAATTTATGTATTATTTCTTATTTATAAACAGAAATTACATTAAAGATAATACGCTTTATGTAATTTTATAACTGAACTAGCAGACCCCGCCACGCCTTGTTGTGGCTCAAAATGTATCTATTATAAATGTATAACACTTCCCCCTAGGAGAAAATTTTTCGAAAAATTTCTTCTTAGTGTACATTCTGTTGACGTACCCTATTAAAACGCAATCAAAAATGCAAAAACCCGCATCTAAAATAGTATAATAGAAGCGAAGTTTTTCACAGTAGGCCTTAATCCTGCCCCTCCCCCCCCAATAGGGTAATTTCGACATGTATTCGACAGCCTATGTCCACCCTGAGGTTCCATTCTAAATATTGGTGAAAGAATTTTTGAAATCGGATGAGTAGTTTTGGAGATTACCTGCTGCATACAAACTAACATACAAACATTACCTCTTTATTATATTAGTATAGATA